TACCCTCGAAAATCAGGTACTTTGCAAGCATATTTGTGTTAAGTAAACGTAAAACAAAGCAATCTAAGTAATTAATAAACTGCTAAAACAACTAAATAATTATATTCAAAATAATAATAAATATAAATATAAAATATGCACAATAAATTATATTGTAAATTAAAATATGAAACAAATATGTTTAATACGTTTTTTAGAAACATGTGAGAACATGTTTTGAGGATACACATTTACACCGTTTTTAAGCTTATCAAATAATGAATATTACAATACTATTATGTTTAGAAAAATTTAAAAGATTATCAACTATTTTCAACTTTTTTCCCCACTAAAAAATGTTTTTAGATCGGTTCATATGCTTACATTAAAATATAATTAGTTTTTTGTTGCGGATTTGTAAGGAGTAAAATTGAAAACAAAAACCTGAATGGGTATTATATGTTCGTCCTAGCAAATAAAGTGTCCTTGTTTTTAACCGTGTGACATTTTTCTTTTTTATTTACGGAAGGGGAGTGTTCAGCCCTAATGTGGACTGGTCCAAGTTTCCTTCTTCCTGTTCCTCCGATGCTTTTTTTCAACTTTTTTTTTGGCTTGTTTTGTTTCGTTCACTTGTTGGCTACTCTTTTATGCACATCGATTTTCGCTCAGTGCTTTTTATTTGCCATTCCACGGAGAAAGGGAGAAAAGAGGAGGAAAAAGGAGAAAGGTGGAACTGTACATCGGAGTTGTTTGTTTGGCACTGTTTGTTTATGTGCCGTAACTGGTTGGTGAGAAAACGGAGGATACAGGAGGAGGAGGGGGAGAAAGGTGTGGGAAAAATGCTGAAAAAAGAGGAAATTTGGGGCGTGGTTAGGGAAGGGGCGGGGAAAACCCGGCTCGGGGACAGAACTTTTTAAAGCGACATTTAACGATGCTCTTAAGTTGAGCACAACACTTGCAAGGACCGAGTGAGTGCCACATGAGTGCATTCATTCACTCACCCACACTCAGACTCAAAATCATGAGTACTCACTTGGCGACCAGAGCAATTAAAATGCATCCTTGGTTTTGTACAAAAAAATTCGTTTTCAGCCTAAAATTACGACCTTCGATAAAAGTGATCGGTTGCTTGTTTAAGTACCTTTAATAAAAACTTCTCGATATATAAAATATTTCTCAAAAAAATGCTTGTTTTATACATCAATCGTTGATAACTAAATATTTGATCATTTACATGTAAAAGCTTGTGACTCTATTTATTAACTTTCATTATTTTACAGAAATTTGCTGATAATTTTTGAAAAATTCACGTTAATTCTTTGATTTGTTTAGTTATGATTATGATTTACAAATTTGTATTATTAGTACAGTTCATTAAATGATGAGTTGTTAGTTGTTTTTTAAATTGCGACTTAATTTCAATTACTTTCTAACATTACTAGATATTATCAAAAATGTATATTTTATTTACATTCAGCATCAATCACATGAGATAATCAAACACTGATAAAATAGATTTATAGGAAATAACTAAGACTAGTTATATTGAACATAGCTCGAGTGGCCTGTCATTACCAATTATTTGTCCCCTTTTTACTGTGCTTCACTTTTTACAACTGATTTTTAAAAAGCGAAACGATGGCTAAGGTCGACTGCATTGGCAGTTAATAAAACAATTTCAGCAGGGCTAACAAACAAGATTGCCAAGTAAGGTGCCCTTTTTGACAATGACGTTTTGGCGAGTGGCGGATGGCGAATGGTGAATGGCTTGCCAACGCTTCAAGTACGGCGACAAATCGGGCAACAAAGTGAAATGCTTTTCAAGGGGCGCTGCGTGCGGAAAACTGGGGACTTGGGACTGGGGAAAAACGCTGTGGAAAATTGCCAGCGAAAGGAGTGGCTGTGAATACATGTGTACATGCGATGATTCATTTTGCAATATTGCATATTGTGCGTCGCACTTAAATTCAATTAAGCTACAAAGGCAGTTACACAGCACAAGGCAGCCAGCTCGAAACATTGCACACACGAGAACCGGGCACCACAAGCGTCCAATAACCCATCAGCTGTCGCGTCAGGAAAACCCCGAGCACCACCCAGCACCACCCACAATCACCCAGAACCACCCACAATCACCCACCATTCAAGTAACGGTGGCTACACTTTATGGCATTGCCCTTCGTGCACTCACTCATTCACTCATTCATTGATTCATGCACCAATTCGCCCAGCCATTCAAGCCGGCACTCATTCAATCATTTCTGCCGAGTCCTCGACGATTTTGGTTCAGCATGTGCTTTAGTTTTCGGTTGTAATGCTACAAGATGGCATTGTAAATGGTTAAAATACAAAAACAAGTTAAGCCATAAGAATTACAATCAATTCGATTAGAAAAACAGTTTATTATTAATGCTTGCTTACCTAAAACCATACTACTTTCATGTAATTTTGTTAAATGTATTAATTTTAACAAGTAACTTAAACAAAAATAACATCTTGATATCCTAAAGCTTAAATACCCAATAAAAAATATTAAGTACGAATTATAATTGATGGCAATTAAAACATGAAACTGTCACTTTAAAGCTAGTTCATTTAACATTAATCTAATTTATTTATTTACGTTAGGATTTTTCTCTTACACTTTCATAGCTGCATAACTTTTCCATGCGCATTAGCTTAATTGTTATATTAATTAAGCACTAAAGAAATAAAAGCGATTGTTTACTATACATTCTATTTAATGATTTAGAACGGTTTCGTTCTGCTCCATTTAAGCCCGAAAAAGTGCTTATCACTCGCGACCCCGAAGTCCCATCTCCTTTCCAGAAATCGCATTTCATCGAGGGTATCTCCTCATATCTTGTTTGCTGTTGGCGGGTTAAAAGTAGAGCCATCGTGCCGGGGCGTTGGCTGACTGGTCTTGTGGGTGGGTGTGGGTGTGGGTGTGGGTGTGGCTGCTCTCTAATTTCATTTACACGCTTTTCAACGCTTCCCAGCGTAGAGCTCCATTTAAATGTTTGCCTAGGTGCGCCCCACTCATCCACCCACTCATCCACCCACTCAACCACCTATTCACCCACCCACTCACAGATACTCGGAGGTAAGTAAGTGGAACTTCCGGAGCAGAGTGGAGCGGAGCGGAGTACTACTCGCTTATAGAACATCCTTGGCTGCTTTCGCTTTTGAGCTCCAGTTTGCGTTTGCATCTCGCAGATGCCTCGCTGCCATGTAGAACTAATTCCATTAAAGCCAGCTCTAACTTGATTTTCAATTGACTCCTCATTTGCAGCGGTGCGTTGGGTGGTGCGATGGTGTGATGGTGCTATGCTGGGTGGATCGGTGGGTCAGGACGCGCTGTCAGCAATCAACATGTTCAATTGAGCATATCCTGCCGGCTGCAGGACACTACCATACTGCCGTACTATACCAGAAAAATGTGATTACCCAACGCTATTTTCCACATACATCCGTGCAGTGGCGTTGGCCACTTTGGTAAAAGGGGGCAAGGATCTAATGGTCTTGGGGGATTTACTTCGAACTATATGTCTGCATTTATATTAATGTTTTTAAAACTCAGGCAACACGATAAGGTATGTCTATAGTTAATTAGGTATTGAACAGGGAGATTTTCTTTTAACTAACTAATATATTTATTTCATCATATTATTAAAAGAAATCAACTGGAAAAAGCAACTTAATTTTTTTAGCCCTCGTTTTTTAAGAAAGAATGGATTATTTTGTTAAATAAAATTCAATCCAAACCTTTTTTTATAGACTATCAAATGTATTTTATCAAATGTATTTTAAAATGTCTTTTAATTATTATCACACCCAATGAAAAATGTATTTATTTCTGAAAATACTATTGTTTAAAAAACTTTTTTAATTTTCGGTCCTGTTTAAATTCTTGTATAAGGCAAAACTGTCAACCTTTGATATTCATATAGGAACTATATTATTTTTTAGACCTCTTGAGTACCTGAGTATATGCTAATTTCCCATTTCAGAGTTCCTTGAGTACCTGATTAAATCCTCAGGCCCCCTGTCTGCGACACTGCCCACTGCCGACACCAGAAAGAGACGGGCAATAGGGCGTAGAAAGAGACGGCGAACCAGAACACAACAGGAAGAAGGTCCAGCGGGCGCCTTTTACATTTCATTGGATTTTATGCGTTTCACTTTATGCTGATGTTTTTATTATTAAATTTTCTTGAATTTTCATTTACATTTTCTGGCTTTCTTAGCGCTTGCTCTATCTCCGTCCATCTCGCTCACTCCTGTTCCTGTTCCTGTCTCTGTCCCTTTTTGGTCGTTAGTATTGTCGCTGATGCTGATGACTCCTCTTCATTTTCACACTTTTCATTCGATTTATTGCATTTCGCAAATTGAGTGTCGCTTTCCTTAGATCTATTCTCCCTCCTGTTTCGTCCTGGCCACATCATCCGGCCCTGTTTTCTCACTTTCCCAATTTTCCAGTGGAGACGGCGTGAAAAATGCAAAATAAGTACCTTAAAAGAAACCAATTCGATTAAGGGATAGGAAATGCTTAAAAAGAATTTTATATACATTTACTGGTATGTATTTGCAACTATAAAACTTATAAATATCAAAAGTTGTTACATATTTGGGGATTAAATGCATTGTTAGGGCTTAGTCCAAATATTTGTGTCGAATAAAAAATTGGCAAAAATATAAATCTCCTGACTTGAATGCCAATTGATTGCGACTTCTATTACGAGTTCATTGTGGTATGACATTCCAATTTTGGGATATTAATGTCAAAATGTCTGATTTTATTGTGGGAAACCATCATATTCTGGTTGATATTAATAAATACATCTTTCGGCCTATTTTTGCATTTTCCGTAAGGGGGATACATCACCAATGTATCCGAAAACTAACAAAACAAAATAAAATGTTTAGAGTTGAATGCAAAATGATTAGGATTTTTATTACCAGTTCATAGAAATATAAACGTATTTGGGCTATTATGGCTAAAAAACTTATGACAATTTTCATATAAGGTGCATTAATATATATATACGAATTTTTATCAAAGTATTCAGAATATCACATACAAATTTACTTTCAACACTTGTAGTTATTTTCCCTCATTTCTAATTTCCAAAAGCTTTGCTTTGATAATTGGTAGAAATGATACGTTGGCTAATCATGGCAACCAACTGAATGCCTACCGAATCCCTGCCGTCGTTTGTGAGATTTTGCACCTGATCTTCTGTTAGTATAATGACCTTGCCACACTTGATTAAGTCGATGGGTTGAAGAATGTCTCCGATATCGTGGGGTCTTCCGGTGAATGATATGATACTCTCGGGCGATTTGCCAGTCCTCGGCCACAAAGTTATGTTTATATTCAATGGCAGACAATCGGCGATGAGAGCTGCGACCCAAATAATAGTTAGTCGCTGTTTCAATCGTTCGTTGTCCAGTATCTCGCTTAAATTAACTTCCCTACTCATGATCAGGATGGGTAATATATCCTGCTTTGGCATAAAGCCCCAGTCATTGACCACATTTCGCAGTTGCAAGACAGCATGACATCTCACCTTTCGATTCGAGGATCTCAAGTCGAGACAGAAACTCTTTGGTTGATTTAATTCCAAGCTTTCCACTACCCGATTGCCATGTAATAATGCCATATGGTCGTTCATATTCGATGAATACAGATACTCTCCGCAATCAAAGTCCGGACATTTGGGAAATTGAAAATTCCTACCCAGGCCATGTACAGGAATTGGAAGCATCACCTTTCCTTTTCTTGATTTTAGCACCTGGAGATCGGCGACCAAATCCTCCGGACAGGTAACCACTTCACTGTGCAAGCCCTTAAAGTTTTTACCTCCAAAGCGGACACGTCGAACCAGGGATAATTGATTTCTGGGAGTACTGGAAATCATACTTCGTGGCTCCGACCATAGCAACTTCACGGGTCTTTTTGGTATCGAAAATGGATGCTTTTGTACAGCAGAAAAGTAATCCAAAGGTAAACCTTTCATAGTTGGATAGGTCCCGGAAATATTTTTAAAAAATAAGGTTTGTAGTGTCTTCTTGGGTTCCTTTGGGCGGAAGAAACTCAATGGTATATCCTTGTGATCAACGACATGCGGCTCCAATTGATAAGCTTTCTGGTCTTTTGTAGGGGCTCTTTCTGCTGTTCTGTATAGGGAAGTGTATTCCCCTGTAAACAATTCTTTCTTTTCATCTTTTACGGCATCATCTTGTAGGCAATGTCCGCCGGAAATCTTATCTCTATTGGGATAACCAATTAGCAAACGCTTCTCCTCGGCAGTGTAATCCTCTAAATACATAACTTTTGAATTCGTAAAAGAGTTGCTTATGGTGGTTATAGATTTTAATTTGCTATCATGACTACCAGAAGGAAAGCCTTGTTGTAAAGCCCTTATTCCAATAATGGTCGTGGATTTTTTAGCTATTGCGTGGCTTTCTGCTTTGTGGAGATATAATGGACTTAATATAAGTTGTTGTTCTTTATAAAAGTGTCCTTTTACTATGTCACTCTCTTTAGCAACGAAATATTTTAGGCCTGATTTAAAGTCCTTGGCATTCCATATTTCACGTAAATCGTTGCTAGTATTGGATGAAGACTCGGCTTTCATTTCATCAAGTTGTCCAATGGAATCTTCCCCTAGATCTAAATCGTCTATCGGCTGGCGACATCCCGGATTCCAATATCGAGGAGCTATCATGGAGCTACTTGACTGTTCATAGGTGCCCCTGAACTTGACCATCGACCATGATTCTCGGGGCCAATTGTCCCAATAGTCCTCATTCTGCCAAAGGTTCCCCGAACTGGCCGTGTCCGACTGCGCAGCGGCGAATCTCAAGTCCAGGTAGATCAGGTAGGTTCCTTCGCCGCACAGGCCACAATGGTTCTGGTTCTCGTTGTCGCAGCGCACACACTGATAGTGCTCGTGAGGGCACACAGAAACCTCGAACGAAGGTTGCCCCGAAAAGGGTGATATGTTGGCCACCTCGCACATCACACAGTTCATGGTGGTTGTGGCTCAAAACAGATGTCTTCCAAATATATATACAAATGCTATACTATATGTCGTCAAAGTGTGAAGGCTAATGAAAGGCACACTCTCGGAGAAGTTCGATGTTGTTATAAAGGTATCTATAAAGGTATCTCAACGTATGCAACGTGTACAATATACAGTTTACTTTAAATCCGATGGATTAATTGCCAAACAGGATCACCATGATAATTTATTTCGAAACCGTTTTGAAATTCTTGTAAATTCTTAATGGGAACTTAATATTGTGATGACTTTTATATAATAATAAAATATTTTATTTTGAAAGTATGAAAACCAAGTGTTTAAAATTAAACACCATAAGTTTATTTTACTTTTATTAATAAAATTAGTTTGTTTGTTTGATGGTAAGCAGCCCTTATAAAACCTAATGTCTTTTGTATAAATATTATTTTTTATTTGAACTAAATTTCTCGTTATGTTTACCCATTTAAGTAGCCTTTGGGATATAGTTCCCCGATCGGACGACCAAAATCAGTGGGGCCTAGCGCTTTGGCTGGAAACGAGACATGTAAGTAATTAAAAAATAATTCAAGCTAAATTGTCAACTCACAATCTGCAGAGAATTCAGAATCAGGAAAGGATGTCCAGCGAGCAGATCAATCGTCAACCGGCACCGGAAACGCAAGGCCGCCCCGAACCGGAACCGGAAACGGAAGTGGAGGTGGAGCCCGAGGTCGCTGCCTTCGAAGCCCTCTCGATCGGCAGCTTGGCCAGCTTCGCCAGCTCCATGGAGTCGGGGAACGGACCCAGCACCAGCCGCAATCGAGCGGCGAAACCCGGCCAACCACTCACCGGCTGTGTGGTGCGCATCAAACGGGAACTGATGGACTTTCGCAAGCATCCGCCGCCGAATTGCTCCGCTGATATGTACCTTGACGATCTCTTTCGCTGGACGGCCGGTGTGGATGGGCCAGCCGGTTCGGTCTACGAGGGCGGTCACTTCCGGCTGGACATCCGCTTTTCGACCGCCTATCCCTTCCGGCCGCCACGCATCCGGTTCATCACCCGCATCTATCACTGCAACGTGGACAGCCGGGGCGTCATCTGTCTGGATGTCCTTGGGGAACGCTGGTCGCCAGTGATGAACGTGGCCAAGGTATGTTCGATTGCCCTTCCATTCATTAATTACAGTTAATAGTAATTCCGTATTATTTCGGTTTTAATAATAATTACATATTCTCTGCAACTTATAAGACAATAACTCACTTAAAAAAGTACCATTAACGCCCAAATTTCGTCGATTTTTAAAATAAGTTTTTTTGGGGCAGAATATCAAAAGCATTATTTTTAAATTAAATCCCATCTTGACATTATGTTGAGAGAAGCTCTTATTATTAATAGTTCTGTCCATTTATTTTCTTGTTAAGAGTCCAAAGAAGTGGTTGATTAACAAGTATAACTAAAATTTAATATGTTTTTAAAATAGGATATTTATGTATTGTTATATTTTGAAAACCACCAGGTTCTGCTGTCCATTTACGTGCTGATGAGTGAGTGCAATCCGGAGGATCCGCTGGTCATGTGCATCGCCGATCAGTACAAGACCAATCGCAAGGAGCACGACAGGATTGCCAGACACTGGACCAAGCTGTTTGCCATGCCCAAGTCGCAGGATAAGGTTAAGGAAAACGAGCAGAGTCAGGATCAAAATCAGGAGCCAAAGCCAATGCCAAGCCAGTCGGAAAATTAATAGTCGAAAAAGCAGACAACGCCCAATACTCCTTAATCACTCAATAATTATTAGGAACCACTACCCAAATAGCACATGAAAATGAGTTTTAAATATTTTTCGCGAAGCAACTTAAACAGAAACTAAGAAGACACGAAAACAAATTGCTATATTTGCAAGTTCGAATGACGATTCAATTAAATTATTAAAATCACGACAACGGAAACAGTTAAGTCGCAACTAAAAAATATATTTATCCTAATGAAAAATATTGTGTACAAATTATTGACATTTGTCTTCAATATTTAATGCAAAAAAACTAATAAAATTTTAGTCTCTTCCTTTTGCCCAGCATTTTTACTACAATTTTTGATATTGAAGCTAAATATTAATTTTGCCCGTTAAATTGTAGGCATTTTAATAAAATTTGCAATGTTTTCCTTTTGTCCAATGGGTTTTTGAATTTACAGCAGTGTAAGCGAATAACTCACCTCAAGCCAAGCGAACACGACTTAATGGTGCCCTAAAAATAATCCCGTAAAATAGGATCTGAACACAATATAAATATTAAAGTATTTCAAGCCGTTTTCGAAAGCACTTTCTTCGCTTTAATGGGTTTTTTGTAGTGCCGCAAATGTAAGCCAGTTGAGAGCTTCTGCCGCCCCATTTCCACTTGCCCCATTGAACTGCCACCTCAAGGCGGGCAGTTTTCAAAATACCCAACCCACTGCAGTACTGACTGTGTCAGATAGCCCTCGCGGTCCTTTGGCCGCTCATGTCTATGAATATTCATGAGCTGCCAAAAAATGAACGTTGGAAAAACATCCACGGCCCAATGGACCCCGTGAAAGGGGGGTGGCGGATGGGGATGGTGCGGGTTTTTGTGCTTTCGGTTAGCTTTGAAAAATGAATTGGAACGGAAAAGGTTTAAGAATGCCAACACCTCCAGCTCCACAGCATCACAGCTCCACCTCCACGAAGATGGCAATGCAGGCCATCAGCGATAAAGGAGGGAAGACAGGCTCAAAGGACCACGGCCAAAAGGGTTTCCCGCGCAACGTGGTCACCTCGATTGAGTGCGAGAAAATATTCAGGCGGGCTCTGCGGGCCAACCAACTTTAATGCCCATATGGCACTAAACAGAGAGCCTGGTTGGCAAACACAATTAATGTACCGCCAACAGGAACGCCACTCAAGGCAGCTAGAAAGATGATATACTATCATCTTCAGCATAAGCAAAACACAGTAAATAAGGGAAATTGACTATATTTTTACAAGACCTCAGAAATTGTGTTTCGAGTGAAGCCTAGTGGCATTGGCTCAACTAGATCTGCATTAATTGCCCAAAACAATTAAAACAAACATTTTAAAAAAGCAGACATCAGCATTTGATTTATTTTTTTTTTTTTTCAAAACTTCAGACGCAAAGTTTCTAAAAATTCTTGTTTTTTACATTCTGAACAGATTTTATAAGCAGAAGGTTAATTTAAAGGGTTTTACATCAAACAATCTGTAAGCAATGAGGTAAAAATTTAATTTAATATTATATCAATATGCTTACAACTTTTAATCACCTTTAGCAAATGCGAATAATACAAAATTAAATTAAATTAGAAATTATTGGCATTTATTTGTATAATAATTAACAAAACGAAAATGCTTTTTGTTAGTCTTTAGATTCCGAGCCGAAAGTAATTATAACAGAACAACTGCTGCTTAAGTCAATGCAATAAGTGACAATATTGATGCCAGGCGGAAATCCAGAACGCAATATAACCTTATGAATCCAGGGTGATAAACGCATAACACCAGTGACAGGATGGGACAGAACATCCCCATCCGCCATCCGGAAAACCCCTGGGAAAATGGTCTGGCCAACAATGTCATCAAAGTGCCGAGACCCGAGAGCCGAGTGCCTTTCCAATATCAACCCGCCCATTCCCTGTCTGCCGTTTGTCCGCCTCCGTCCCTTATTCACCGACAAGTCAAACGTTAATGAACTTAAAGAAATTAATTAAAGTGCCAGGCCAGGCCAGGAAAAGCCACCCACATATGGTGGCTCAATGCCACATCGGCACATTGGGACATACAAAGTGTATCCGCTTGCAGCTTAACGCCTGTCCCGATGCCCGTTTATTGGAAACGACATCCGGGCTGGACGTCAAAGTCCTTGGCCACTCAGTTCAGCTCAGTTCAGTTCGGTTCTGTTCGTTTCGGCTTGGATCGGATTGGATCGGATCGGAGGCAATGGCGATGGCGATGGCGATGGCGATGGCGATGGCGATGGCGATGGCGATGGCGATGGCGTTCTTCCCGGGAAAATGCAATAAAAGCAAGTTGCTCCACGCACTGAGACAACTTGACTCTTAAAAACAAAGTCAGCCCATGTCTGCCCATTAAGTTGCCAGCTTATATTGAAAACAACGTGGGCATACCCTTTTCCTGGCATTGGAAAAACTATTGCAATCCCACGTAATAATATATGTATTGATTAAATTCTATATTGCTTCTTATTTGGAAAAAAAATAATTTACATTCAATTGTTTGCAAATATTTATATATTTTAGATAAATATTTATTAAGCTTGCACCTTAATTTTGATCAATAACTATGCACTGGAGTTTTTAGTTCTGGACATTTTTTCAATTATTAAATCAATTTTTTTCAATAAACAAAGATAATTAAACAATGTTTTTATATAGCTATTTTTTTTATAAGCTTTTGAATAAAGTCTGAAATATAAAAATCGTAAGATTACTTTTAGTTTTTTTGATCGCTGAGCGTTTCTGTTGCTTCTTAAAGGAAATATATGCCTTTATTATATAACTACACTCTGGATCATGACTTGTTGAATGTCATTTGTAGATACGAAGATTTCGTTATTGCCTTTTTCATTTCTCTCATTTCTCAGAGCAGCAAATGAGGCAAGCCACACAAGTGATGACTTTGGTCAAACTTCCTGTGCCCGTACTCATTAACCCCGCAGGCGTCGCTAAATTCGCACCCGGTCTAATCCCACATAGCCACCCGATTGCAATTGCCAATTGCCAATCGCCAATTGACGATGGCCGACAAACAGGCAAATAACTAGGACAATCCGTCACAGTTCCGAAAGTGGATTCAGATGGGTTTTGGGCATAGAGGATGCCTCGACTTGGGTCGATAATCGCATTGCGTTGCATAATGGGTGTCCCGAAAGTGGGTGTTTAATTAGGAGGTCGTCGTGGGATTCGGAGGAGTTGGGCCATAAAGCCACATTTGCGAAACTGTATTTGCTGCAATTTGCATTGTCGCGGCTATGAATGAAGCCATCAGAGTCTGCAAATCGAGGGATTATGATAAGTTCCGGAAACACCTTTACAGTACAAATCTGTAATAGGCATCACATAGATAATTTGACTTGACTTATTTTTGAAATGGTTTAGCCAATGCTTATTTTTGTTCAAAATTAAATATCCCTTAATAAGTAAAATCCTTCTTCAAGATCTTTTATTAAAATAATTCGATTTTAATTTTGAAATTGTGTTATGACAAATTTTTTAATAATATGGTCTTCTTTTTCTTTAAACTTTAGTTATTTGGAATACTTAACTTATATAACATATAAAAAAAAATAAGTATATACATCAAGTTAATTGAAAATTTGTCTTTACAATTAATAATTAATTAAAATTGACTTTTCTAGAGTGCATTTCCTCACACAAAATACTAATAATAATTATTAAAAATATATTATTTTGTATTATAATTAAATATGTAAATAATTTACCTATTGTTTAACTATTAACTATTAATTAAACATTAACATATATTTTTCTAGAATGCCTGTGTCACACCAAACAATGATAATAATTGTTTTAAATTTAATTTGTATGAAGTATCATTATTTTTATTTTGTTGTTTATCCTAGAAGAGTAAAATGATAAATGATTGCTCTTCGACATAATTACTCTCTACTTGTTTCTTAAGTATGCAAAACGCCCCAGACTGGGAAGTCGTATATTAATAAAATCCCTCATCCAACTTTCAGCTGATGTACCTCATTGTTGTGTGTGTCACATGGCAATAAATATTGCCGCATGTTAAATGTTTCGCTCGCCACTTGTCCGTTGACGATGGGATGGACTTGACTGCTCAAACTCCCGAGGATTCGGGAATAAGGGGGATATGCGGAGGATCCGAGCCGAGGAACAGGGCCACGGCCACTCGCCGATATTGCACGAAATTAACAAATGAGCCCGACAAGCGTCCGGCTGATGAGTTTCGATGCCCACGCCCACTGTGTGCCCGGAAAAGCAACCGAAAAGCCCGGAAAACCCCCTCGATATCAGCCATTTTCCATGGCCAAGGGGCCGGGCCGATTGAATTTCGTGTCAAACGGTTTCTGCACTCTCAGCTTTTATTGAATTCCATTACAGATTCATGTCCATCAGTGGGGTAACGTCATCATAAGGGCCACATGGCCACATGGCCGTATGGCCGGAGTTGTTTGCCTTTTCGGGGCAACATAATGAACACCCAGCGATTGCAGTCATTAATGTTAATGGCAAATTGTTTTAGAGCACCGACTTCTGCCGGTGACAGTGTGACTGCGCCAGGACGAGGCCCGCATCCTGTTTGGTCCTTTTTGGTCCTGTTTGGCAATCCACACACAGTGAGGGAGCGAGTAGTTTGTCAAAAGTGCGATTACAAAAGCCCTGGCTCCTTATCGGCGCAGACAGACTTTTCCGACGGCCGAAAAACGGAAAAGTCCGGTGAGTGGTCGGGGGAAACCCATTATGATTATGCCGGCGAAAAGTCCAAAAGGATTGCGCTTTGGCCCGGCCATTATGTTGAGACCTTCACAAGGTTTTCGCCATTTAAAAATGACCAAGGATCGGAAGCCAATTAATTTAGGGCTACAGTGCACCGAAACATTTGGTGTTAGATATTTAGAACTAATATGTATTTAATCAAATAAATATTTAAATATTAATTGTATCGAATCTTTTTATAAACAACAAAACATACGAGCTAAGGTAAATTTAAAATCCATTCTATGCCATAAACAATGTTACAATTAGAACATAAGAATTTATGAATTATCTACAATTATCGACAATATTTTGCTTAAATAAATATTTTTATATTATTTGTATAAAATATTCATAAATAGATTCTATGCTATAAGCAAAAATAAAACTTTATGAATTATCTACAATATTTGATATCTAAAAATTGTGTAATATATTAAAAAAAACAAAGCCAAGCCTGCATTGAATTTAACTTAACTTTTAAATTGAATTTGTTAATTGTCATTAGTTCTTTAACTGTAGAAATCATAGAAGTTTTGTGGTAAAAATTGC